TTTTTTTAAGTAATCGACAGAGGTAGAGACTCAAGTAGTAGGCTTGCCTCATAGCAATGTGTGTGAATCTCAAATATAATATGCTAGCAGAGGAAGCCTGGTTTAAAACACTACAGCACTACCTGAGGACAACTGACCAGGGCTGGGGTAAAGAGACACAAGAGAATTAGGAGGGACAGTTAAACTATTCTATACTGTGATTTAAAACTGATACAGAATGGTATTGAATTGCAATCTCTGCTTGCAACTCTAAAGGTAATTTTAAAACGTATACGGTTTGATTTTATTTTTGGTGATACTGGGGATTGAATTCAGGGCCTCATGCTTACCAAGCAGGGACTCTACCATCTGGGCTAGGCCTCCAGGCCCTATGTGCAATGATTGTTTTTGAGGTAGAGTCTCACTTTAGGCTCTGGCTAGACTGGGCTGCGATCCCCCTACTTGTGCATCCCTGCATCCCTAGGGATGGCAATGCTCCGGTGACAAGCCATGATTACGATGGAGTCTTAATCTGGTTGGCCTCAAATCTCTCCCTCCCAAGTAGCTAGCTGGCCAAAGTTATATTTTAAAAGATTAAATTACACTCTCTATCCCTCAATAAACATGACTTTTTAAAACATTAATGGCGGGGCACAAGTGGTTCATGCCTGTAATCCTAGCCACTCAGGAGGCTGAGAGATGAAAACTGAAGCCAGGTGGGCAAGAAATTCTCCAATTAACCAGCAAAAGGCCAGAAATGGAGCTGTGGCTCAAGTGGTAGAGTACTAACCTTAAGCAAAAAAATGGCTAGGGACAGTGTAGGCATTCAAGCACGGGACCGGCATCCCCCGCCCCCTTCCAAAAACATAAATGGTTGTGTCCCTGAGATGCGCCCTTCAGAAAGGTAATAAGCATGTCACCTGAGACCTGCCATCCAGGCTGAGGCCCCGCTGTGCCCTCCTGTGCCAACAGCCCAACCAGCGGTGATACAGGGTAAAAACTGAAACCACTCAGGGATGGCAGCCAGAATTAAAATCGGCCTGGAAATCTGGTGCTATGAAATTATGGAAAGGATGGAGGCACAAATGTCAGAGGTCTCTTAATCCATGGGAAGCCGCTGAAAGGAGCTGTGACCCACAGGTCAGGAAACTACTGCTACTGCCCTGCTTTCCATATCTGGACAGATTCACTAAGGCCTACAGTGGGAGCAAGACTGACCATCACCTCCTCTGAACACTTAGGTCCCCAAGACTTTGCATGCCAGGACCTCAACCTCTTAAAGGAATTTCACCTCGCTGTTAAGTGGGAGAAAGCCAGCTGTGAGGAAGCCCTCAGACATGGAGTGTTAAGTCTTCTTCCAACCAAGGCCTGGAGGTAGAACTCAGCTTAAAATACTCAAGACCCTGGGGTCAATCTCCAGCATAAAAACAATTACACGAAACCCCTAGAAGCTTACATCGGTGGCTTATCCCTCTAATTTTAGACACCGGGAGGCTGAGACTGGGAGGATCTTGATTCAAGGCCAACCCAGCCATAAAAATGTTTATGAGAGTCCTTCTTGACCAATACCTGGGACTGCCACAAGGGCAGAAAAGTCCATAGAACTCCAACTCAAAAGAGAAAGAATCTGGGTGTGATGATGTATACCTGTTGTCCCATCTATAATGGGAAGCCAAAAAAAAAAAAAAAGAAAAAGAAAAAGAAAAGAGGAGGATCACAATCTAGGTATATATATGCCTTAGACGTTAACTCAAAAGTAACCAGTGTGGCCAGGTGCTAGTGGCTCAAGCAATCTTAGCTACTCAGGAAACTGTCACCTGAGGATCCAGGATCAAAGCCATCTGGGACAGGAAAGTCTTCAAGACTCTTATCTCTCATTAATCATTAGCAAAATGCAGAACTAGAGGTATGGCTCAAGTGACAGAACACCAGTCTTGAATGAAAAAGCTAAGGGACAACACCCAGACTCTCAGTTTAAGCACTAGTATTGGCACAAAAGGCAGAGAGGGCTGAAGACATGGCTGAAAAGTAGAATATCTGCCTTGCAAGTTTGAGTTCCTTGAAAACCAAAGAAAGTAGAGTCCAACTCAAAAGAGCTAGCCATAGGGTCTATCCTTCTTAGTATAAACAAGATATTCTTCTATAAAGAAAAGATTGCTTAACGGCCTTTTTCAGTCTAAATTTAAATCTGAAATGGTATTATGGAACTGAAAAGTTGTTCTATTGATAAATGAAACTAAGATCTTAACTAATTTCATTATGGAAAAATATTAGGATTTCACGTTTAGTTAGCTCAAGCCCCAGCAGAATAAAATGTTCAGTTCATCACATTTGATAACAGAGTTCACCTCCTTTGAGTTATTATTTGAGCTTTTCTGCTTCTGAGAATTAAGTAGACTATGCTTGAAAATGTGTTTGCTTCCTAGATAATTATTTTGTAGCAAGCTAAAAACAGGACAAGGAAGTACCTTTTGTAACCTAAAAGATAATCAAAAAGACAAAGCAGCAAAAAAAATTAAGTTTATTTAGTGTAAGTATCGTGATAACTAGGAATCTTTTGTATGTGTAAATGCCAGTCATGGGGCTTGAATTTAGGGCCTGGGTGTTGTTCCTTAGCTTATTTAGCTCAAGGTTGGCACTCAACTACTTCAACCACAGCTGCTGAACCACTAGAAGACAATATAACTCTTGTAGATAACTGATTGTACATGTAAGTAAAAGCAGTAAAGATCTGTTCCTGAGGAAAGTCTAAACCTTAGCATCTTTACCTCCAGATTACATACCAGGGAGACCATGGCAACATTTCCTTTTTCCTGATAGGAAAACTAATTAGAGGATTTTGATAGCATTTTCAACAAGACAAAAAGCAAGAAAAAAATAAACAAGACTATCAAGGCATAAGAGTTGTCACTGGAAAACACAAGGATAGTCTGCAAAAGAACTCTAATCCTCCCTTCTCAGAAAACCATCAATATACTAGCGTACCCACTTCTCACTGCCTTGAGAAATCACATTGGACAATATCTCCTATGTACTGGCTGACAATATGATTAAGGACAAAGATATAAGTAAGACACCAATGACTGTTAATATAAAAAGCTCTTCTTCGCGTTATTTCTTAGAAGTAGAATTTAGGAGCTGTTTCTTATGAATTCTATGCTGTCTCCTGACGACGTCTCTGACATGGGGCAGAGCACATAGCAACTGTATGTGTAAACAGTGGCCAGACTCTCAACCTTCAGGAGTCAGAAGACATCTATCTCAGAAGCAACACTAAGAAGGACTCACAGCTCAGGAACATCACCAGCCCAGACAAGTAAATCAACCAGGCCATGAGCTCTGTTAGATTTTGCTTGAGCATGCTATTGGAAACGAGGATCTGAAAACTGATTACATTTAACTTTCTTCTCTACTCTCTTTTATTGGCAGACCTGAAGTCTGAACTCAGGGCTTTGTGCTTCATAGGCAGGTGCTCTACCACTGAACCATACCCCATCCCTGAAACCCTTTTATGCTTTAGTGGTTTTTCAAGTTGGGTCTCATGTTTTTGGCCTAGAGCCAGCCTCAGATTGTGACCCAGCCTGTTGCTGGCAGCTGGGATGCCAGATGTGTCCCATCACAAGAGTGATGATTGAAAGATAAAGTCTCCCTAACACTTTTTTCAGATGCTGGTCTCAAACTTCAATCCTCCTGATCTTTGACTTCCAAGTAGTGGGGCTACAGATGTGAGCAACCAGGCCTTCCCTATTATTAATTTCCCTCTAAAGCAAGGCTTCAACTATGTTTATTATGGCATGACATCCATACCTCATACATGTTCTCTTTTTTTTTTTAGAGGGGGAAGAATAGAGGATACTGTATTTTCCATCCTCCCGCCCCTCCAATCTTGCAGCAGTTAGGCAGTGCATCCTCAAATGTCAATACACCAGGTCACCAACTTACCTTGCAAGTGATTTACATACCACAGGCATGATTTTTTTTCCCCAGCTTAAAACTCTCTACAGTCATAGGCCAGATGCCTTCCACACCCTTCCCATTGTTACTTCCCCTGATAAGGCCCTATGAAGAACCCAATGAAACATCTCTAAGGCAAACAGATGCTGCCTTTTCAGGACTGTGCTACCAAATCCCTGTCAGAGAATGTCAGGAGAAGCTTGGGGAGAAATGTCCACCGACAGCCAAGGCTCCCTCACAGAGAGACCAACCCCAGGACTTCTACTTTCAAAGTAGATGCCGTGAGTGTTCTAGTTTTCAGCCTACAACGATCACAAGCGAAACTAAAACCAACCTCTAACCAATAGTTCAAGGGGGTCTCTCTCAGCTCAGTTCAAAAAGAATATATTCATAGGAAAAAAAATTCATTCAGGATGTAAATGTAAAAGCAAAAGGAATCACTATAATTGACCCCCTTCCAGCTGCCACTGTGACTGAATTAGAGCGGATCCAGAGCTGTGCGTGTGCACTGGGGAGGAAGGGGCAGGGTAAGGAGAGCCCAGAGGCTGCTAGACCTGCAGGGGTTCTCCATCTTGGCAGGGGCAGAGTGGTGGCCCTCTGCAGTCTGAGCCCTGAGCCCCCACCCCTCTGACTTGGCCTGGTTCGGAGGCATGCAGGAGTGGAGCACAAGGCAGGAGCTTGTACAGCACAAACCACAGGGAGAAGCCGTTATTCAGGGTGACATAATATATTGTAACTGCTCCCGTAGAGTCAACCAGCATTGTTGTAATGGGCCTGTGGGAATCTCTTCCTCTTGAAGATGACTCCCATCTTAATAAATATCAGAGGTCCCTCTTTTGTAGACTCATAATCTACTCTCTCCCTCCCCCCCACCCAGCAGCTGCCAGACACAAGAACAAGAGAAGTGTCAGGCACAGGGGGACTGATTTTGTCCCCCAAGGCAACTCTTCCATTGGATAATTGGTGGTCTCTTACAACAAAGAGATGAGCAAGTTACAAATATGATCACTGTGTTTGTAAACAAGCAGAAACACAAGCCATGAATGTGCTGAGTGGACACATCTTACCTCTGGCTCTGGCTCTGGCTGGGAGGTGGACTCCTCTTCGGCAGAGTTTGGTAAAAGTGCCCAGGTTATGTTGGCACTGGCTGATGGCAAAGAACCAAGAGTCCCATTTTTCAGCTGTTCTGCAGAGTGTGACTTGGGCCCGTGCCATCCCAGGATGTTTTCTGAAATAAAGACCTAGAATGATGCCCAGAATCTTCCAAATGAAACATTTATAGCTCATGAAATATTTGCACCTCACTGTATGAACCTTCATAACATGGCCCAGTTCAAGTTACGATGGGCTCTGTTTGGAAGACTTAAAAGTATAGATTCTAATCATGTATTTATAAGCTAATTTCTGAATTCAAGATCAGAACTGTCAATCCAGATATGGTGGCTCATGCCCATAATCCAGTACAGGGCAGGCTGAGGCCAGAGGCTGGAGAGTTTCAAGTTAACCTGGGCTACACAGTAAGAAGGAACGAATGAACAAACAAAGGAAAGAAAATCCTACTCAGGAGGGCTGAGATATGAAGTATCAAAGTTCACATCCATAGGACTCCAACTCCAAAATAACCAGCACACAGCCAGTGCCAACTCAGGGCCAACTAAGGCCCTGAGTTCAAACTCCTCTACTGCTATAAATGAATGAATGAATGAATGAGTGTATCAGAACAACACAGACTGTTTCTATCCCCAACACTGGACAGAAACAATTCTCCACTGATAAAAATCAATGTCAGGTAAAAATGATTTTGTTGTTTAACTTCAAAAGATAACTTATTGACAACAAAAATCCAAAGTCAGATTAATGATTTGAAATGCCAATTGTCAAAACCACGGCCTCATGGTTCACCTGTGTCATCACAACACATCCCTTCTGTTGTCAGATGTCAGGAAGCCTCATTGTTCCATTCTACCAAGACACACTATCAACACTGATCTAGTAAACAAATGAATCTTTCAAATTCACCCTAAACCCCTTGTGGGCAATAAGAAGACCTTCTCTCTAATACTAAGATATTTAGGTCATATATTATTATAGAATATCTTTCTATTCTTCTTGATGGGGAAGAAGTAGGGAGACACAGATTTCTTAAGTCCACAGCCATTCTGCTATGAGAATGAATAGGCCTTACTGTCAGCTGATTTCTAGATGTTGTTCCCATCTAAGAGCAAGGTAGGGAAAGACAGGCTGAAGTGGAGACACACAAATGAATGAGAAAATCTGCCAACATCTCCTTGAAGGAGTTCTGCCCACCAGCCTTCTCACTGGAATGACTCAAAAAAAAAAAAAATTCCAAGGAGTCCAAACTTTTAGTACCCAAAGGAATCTGGTTGATGGGAGCAAAATAGCAAGGGCAGAAATAGGGCTGTGTATGCATGTGTGTTTCTTTGTGTAGGGTTATCCAATCCAACCCAAGTATGTACTTGTACACCGTGTGTGTGTGTGTGTGTGTGTGTGCGCGCGCGCGCGCACGCATACTTGAATTCAGGGACTAGGAGTTGTCTCTTAGCTTAGATCCTTAGATCTCAGCCTCCTGCATGCACACATGCACCAGTACTAGGGATTAAACTCAGGGCCTGGACGCTGTCACTGAGCTTTTTTGCTCAAGGGTAATGTGCTACCGCTTGCGCGCATAGCTCCACTTCTGTATTTTTGTAGTTAACCAGAGTCTCATCAACATTCCTACCTGGGCTAGCTTTGAATCATGATCCTCAGGTCTCAACCTCCTGAGTAGCTAAGATTACAGGCCTGAGCCTCCAGCACCTGACAAAATTTTTCTTTTTACTTTGCGGCTTAAGCCTCAAGTAACTTCTCATTACAACTGAAATAAAATCTAAACTGTTTGACTTTCTTCTGTGCTTAAGAGTCTGGGAGACTCATTTCCTTCTCTCCCCATGTATTCTACTTTTTTTTTTTTTTCTATTCTGCAAATGAGCCAAGTTCATTTCAGTCTTAGAGCCTTTGCCAATGCTGCTCCTTCCTCCCCAAGTACTATTCCTCTACACCACCTCCCATAAGAAAGAGATGACATTATGAATACACCTAGGGGTAGATGAAATGTTCTCTTGTCAAAGATAACCCCAATGCTCTTCCTGTTCCATCACTGTCTACTGTCACTAGGGCCCCTAACACTGCTGGCACTCAGCCAGTTTACTCATTTGCTTCTGGATACTTCAGTCTCTAGAATGCCTAGAGAACAGGACCAATGCTGCTGATTGTATAGCCAGCCCTAGAACTTAGAACATGATCTGGGTAGCCCTGGAACTTACAATATGATCTAGCAGAGTGTGTGCTTGCTATGTGCTAACTCAATGAAGACTATCAAGATGCTCAGATATAGCTTAGAACTGGTGGCTCACGCCTATAATCTTAGCTACACTCAGGAGTCTGAGATCTGAGGATCATGGTTCAAAGCCAGCCTGAGCAGTCAAATCTGAGAGATTCTAACTTTCAATGTACCAGCAAAAGGACAGAAGTGAAAGGGTAGCTCAAGTGGTAGAGTGTCAGCCTTGAGCAAAAAGCCAAGTGAGAGCTGAGTTCAAGCTCCAGGACTGGCACAAATTTAAAAGAGTCTCAGAGACAACACATGGCACCTGAGAATTCTCTACATCCACCTGAAAATGAAAAAAGATAAAAGCAAAAGCAGCAAAAAGTAGAATGGCCATTGCAAAGGGCTGATGGAAGGCAAGAAAGGAGGAGTTAAGGGTAGAGAGTGTTGATTTCGTAAAATCACAGTATTGGGGACTGATTGCAAAACATGAAGTAAGTATTAGTACTGTTGGTGAGTATACATAAAGGCAATTAAGATAGAAATTTCACCTCACTGCCATGGTTTAAGGGACCAAAAAGCCATCAATATTAGTAGTACTTGACTCTGTGTGTGTGTGTGTATGCGCGTGCGTACGTGCGTGCGTGTGTGTGTGTGTGTGTGTGCGCGTGTGCGTGTGCGTGTGTGTACTGATACCTCTGAATCCAGCATCCTCCACCTGCAAACCCACTGTGGACCCAACAGGCTATGCATGCCAGGATCTTACCTGGCACGACACCAGGCCTTTCTGGTTACAGGTGTCTGTCTTCAATCTGACCTCTGTTCACCGAACAACACTCACAAGCAAATAACTAACCTCAGAAGTGACAAAGTTCTCTGTACTCCCAAATCCTGAAAGGTCAGGTTCACCCCACACTAGGAACCCTCATGCCCAGATTCTAAGCACACAGCTTCAGCATCATATACTGAGGCACACATCTAGGCCGTGGCAAACAGAAACCCTGTTCCCCTCCAACCAGGCATTGATCTCATCAAGCTTCTGAAACAGCCTTAGTAGGAATGGTAAGAGAGGGGTTTAAAGGTTGACCAAAAACCTAAACCATCTTATTTTCATTATAAACCTCACCATAAACAGAAGCATTACACATCTAACATCTTAATATATCTAAAGATCAGAGACAGGTCTGAGAGCCAAAATGTATAGAAGAAAGGTAGATGCTTTTCTAATGTGTTTTCAGACTTCAGTCTAGTTGTCCCACGTTTCTGAGACCAAATGAGCACCAGAGAAAGCATTTTTAAACAAAGGCTCCAAAGTCAGACAGAAATGCTACAGCCAGAACAAAATGCTACAGCCCAGGAAGCACTTCAAGAACAAAATCCACGTGTGATTTAGAAAAAGGCAAAAGTGAAAAAGAAGGAAGACTCAAGAGACCTTAAGCAAGAATCCACATGGTTTTTTTGTGCTGGTCCTGGGGGCTTGAACTCAGGCATTGGTACTGTCCCTGAGCTATTTTGGCTCAAGGCTAGCACTCTACCACTTGAGCCACAGCTCCATTTCCAACTTTTTGGTCATTAATTGGAGATAAGTCACATGGTTCCTGCCTGGGCTAGCTCCGAACTGCAATCCTCAGGTATCAGCCTCCTGAGTAGCTAAGATTACAGGCATGAGGCACCAGCACCCGGCATATATTGGTATTTGATGAGCTACTGGTACCATGGGCCTCACTGTCCACTAGACTTTCCACATTATTCTTGCAACTTTTCTAATGCCTAAAATATGTATTTTCTTTGTTTTGTGTCAGTACTGTGCTTAGACTCAGATCCTAGGTGCTGTCTTAGCTTTTTCACTCAAGGTTGGTGTTCTACCACTTGAGCCACACCACGACTGTGGCCTTTTTTTGATAGATAATTGAAGATGAGTCTCATGGACTCTCTTGCACATGCTGAAATCAATTTTGAAAAATGAAATGGAGCCAGGCACCAGTGGCTCATGGCTGTAAACCTAGCTACTCGGGAGGCTGAGATCTGAGGATGGTGGTTTGAAGCCAGCCCGAACAAGAAAGTTCATAAGACTCTTTATCTCTAATAAGCTACTCAGATAAAGCCAGAAGTGGCTTTGTGGCTCAAGTAGTGGAGCACTAGCCTTGAGCCAAAGCAACTCAGGGACACATACTCGTTCTGAGAGAAGTATGGTGCTAGCCAGACACTACCTCATAGTCCAGAGCCTGCTGGGTGGCCTGCTATGAGTACAGCAGAGAAACTTCAGCAGGAAGAGGTATCTGTCACAGAGAGAAGTCCTGCCTCTCATCTTGGTGTTTTAGAGGAAGGTCCTTGGGGAAAGTCCCTTTGCAGCTCTGAACTTCAGCATGCCATCTGAAAAATGGATGTGGCAGTACCTACTCTGTAAGGATTTCAGATATGTAGCCAAGGCTCAACACCAGTGGGACCAGACCCCAATAAACAATGGTAGATATTTCAGAAAGAAATCCAGACTACTCACAAATCACCTCTGAAAAGCCAACCACACCTGTTAATCTTCAGTGAAACAGAGTACCAAGGGCACTGGAGGAAAACACGGATTATAAAAACTATTGTTTTGTGTGTGTGCTGGTATTGGGCTTGAACTCGGGGCCTCATCCTCTCATTTCCACTCAAGACTACCAGCTGAGCCACACTTCCACATGCAGCTTGTTTCTGGTTAATTGGACAGTCTCTTGGATTTGTCTGCCCGGGCTGGCTTCAAACCTTGGGAACCTTGGGTCTCAGCCTCCTGAGCAGCTAAGATTGCAGGCATGATGAGCCTTTGGTACCCAGCTTTCACTTGTGTTTCTTACAACCTAGGTTGTCTTGCCTACTTGTTTAATTAAGAGGCACCTACGGAAACCCTGAACAACAAAGGCCTGGAGGACATTTTCTTTATGACTTTATGTATGACTCATCGATACCAAGCTATTTTGTCCTTTATTATTGAATTTAGTTTTTACTAAGCCTTCTTTATCTGCTTACTGATTAAGCCTTCCTCCAAAAAGACTAAGGCATGTTTTGAGAGCATGCTCCTAAAGACCATGAATGGTAGCACAGGTCCCCAGCTATTCAGGAAGCAGAGATGGGAGGATCTGGTTCAAATGGAACTCAAATGATTGTCAAGACCCTCTCCAGCAAGATGGTTCACACTTGAACTACCAGCTATGGGAGCAGCATAGGTCACAGGATCACAGTCTGAGGCCTGCTCTTAGGCAAAAGCACAGAAATCCTAAAACAAGAAGACAGGGATAAGGGTATAGACCAAGTGGTAGGGCCTCTGCCTCGCAAGCATAATGCCAAGTTCAAAATCTTAGTATCTTCAAAGTAAATGGAAACCTGTTCTGTCTCTGGCTGTTGGATAAAGAGCTAGAAATGTTTTTGCCATGCATTCCCATAAACTCTCTCACACAGTTGTACTACAGGCCCTGGGGGGGAAGAAGGCAACAGGGCTGAGAGGAAAAGTCACATGCAGTTCCTCATCTAAAGTGATACACACCAGGAAAACACTGGACAGAAGGTGCACAGCCATGGGCTCAAAGATAGAAGACTGGGAGCAAAGGTCATAAGTGCAATGAAGCACACAGAGCGATGCTAACAAGTGTGAAGTTTAGTGGAAGGAGTCTATACATGCTGCACTTTTTATATGATATACTTCTCATCTGCAAAATAAAAATAGGTCCAATGCAGACACACTTGGATAAAAGGGTAGTTGAATAGATGGTAAAGACACAGACAAAATGAAAGGAGGAAGGCAATGGGGGACAGACGCGTGCATGCACAGACCGAGCAACACGCATCCTAAGCACAAAGCCCAGGAGGGACGGGGGTCCTACCTGAGGCACCAGGCTTGTGGTTGGGTGGACCTGCCTGGCGCACACTCTGCTGCAACAGGCTGAGGCATTCCCCAAGGCAGCTAAGGGTGGCAGCGGAGGTAGCTTTCAGGAGCAGCAGGTCCTGATCCAAGGCAGTGAGGGGGCCGGAGCCTGGCAGGGACTCGATGGCACGCACAAGGTTCTTCTGCTGCCCTTCCACCTGGTTCATCATCTAGAAAACGACAGAAGGTAAATCGGTGAAGGTGCAGCATCTCTTGTCAAAAGAATGGTGGCACACCAGCCCTGAAACTCTGGGCAGTCAGAGAGTGATCATGGAGAACACTCACTGCACACTGGTCCTCTGCTGAGATGGGCAGGCCCAGGTGACTGTCAGGGCCAATCTATGCAAAGACATTCCACCAAAAAAATAAAAATGAGAAGTGACAGCCACAATCAGGTCCACTTTACAGATCTGCAAAAGGTAACCCAATAGCAAAGTCATGAAACACAGAAGTCTCTGCACCTTCCCATAACACCTACACTTTCTTTTATTATGGGAGGATATCTGAGACAACACAGTTGCTGTGACTCTCCCTCAAAGCAAAGATATTACCTGAATTCCTCACTAGTGTGGCCCTTGTTGGCAGCACAACTCCGAGATAAAAGAATGGAGCACGAATCTAGAGCTAGCATTTCCTCCAGTAAAAGCACAGTGAAACCAGGGCTAGGCTATCCCACATCCCAGAATGGCACTGGAACTGACCACTCTAACATCCTACAAGATGTCAGGAATAAAAGGAAAACCAGGAGTCGTAAATCCAGCACTCATCTACTCTGCAGGTTAGGCTGAGACAACCCTAGATTAGATAACTTTATGTGCTGGCTTCAATTCTTAAGCTTATCATAAAATGAAACAGTAGTGTTGCTTTGTCTTTGAATTGGTTAATCAAGGAGAAAGAAATTCCAAGGGGAGCTAGTAAAGGACTTTAATGGCATCTTATGAAATTCATCCCCCTTGTGTTTTACAACTTATAACATTAAACAAGATGATGTATATAAAGTGCTTTGCACATCCTCTAGCAACTAGTCAGACATTTGGAAAAGAGGAGCTAAAAAAAAAAACTGTCCAAAGTCAGGGCTAGTGGACATGGAGAGAGGACAGACACCTGTTCTCTGTACTCTGGTCCATTGTTCTAGCATTTCCACAAAAGCTGTCTTGGACCTGAAGCATCATCTCTGTCATTATCATCCCCAGAGAATGTCTGTCACCATCATGATGTTATCAGATACGAAGAAGTAATAACCAAAAATTCTCCATGGACCATTGAACTTGGGCCCCCCACTTACTCCATGTTTTTTTTTCTATTCCCTTTTTTTTTGGGGGGGGGGGGGTAGAATCCTGCTATTTTATATCAGTCACTGCTAAAAAAAAAAAAAAAAAAAAAAGCTGGGCCTATTATTCCTGTAATACTACCTACTTGGAAGGCTAAAATTTGGAGGGCTATAGTTCAAGGCCAGTCTGCACAATTCCATTCCAATCAATAAAACGTTAATGTATCCTGTCATCCAAGCTACCTAGGAAGCGTACAGAGATGAACTGAGTCCAGGCCAGCTCCAGGCAAAAATTGAGACTCTATTTGAAAAAATAACAAAAATAAAAAGGGCTGATATACTTCAAGTGATAGAGCACTTTAGTAAGCAAAAGGCCTTGATACCCTCACCTCCAAAAAAACTCATCTCTTGCAATCCCATTTACAAAGACAAGTACCATGATAATAATTAATTTTTACAATGTTTATTAGCATGTTAGGTACACAACAGGGGTCTCATGGAGGCATTTCCCATCATGTAGACCATATATCCCAATTACATGGCATCTAGCATTGGTGGCTCATACTTGTAATCCTAGCTACTCAGGAAGCCGAAATCTGAGGACTCTGGTTCAAAGTCAGCCTAAGGAAAATAAAGCAGGGAGATTCTTATCTCCAATTAACCAGCAAAGAGCCAAAGATGGAAACGGGGCTCAAGTGCAAGAGCACCAACCTTGAGTAAAAGCTAAAGTGCCCTGGCCCTGAGTTTAAGCCTCAGTTACAACACACACCCACACTCCCCCCCACCCCCCCCACAAATATAGTCAAAGTTAATAACCACACTACACATTTATTAACATGGTAGGCAACAGTCTCATTTTACTGTCTACAACCATAATGCAGCTGTCGACATTGGGTTTTGCAGGTCAGAAATGCTATCTAGGCAGTCAGGCTCTAAAAACAGTACCTATTATGTGAGAGGTTCAATCGTTTCTGCTCCTACCCATTTTTGTTAAAAACTGCCTTATCAAGAGTGATTCCCAAACTAATTGAAAATCAGTCCTCTAGTCCAACCTCTTATACTCTGACCCTCTCACCAACCGGAGCTTTTCTCCAAAGCATTTATTCCCTTGAGCTTAACTTGTAACTTACTTACCATTTATGCTAATGTGTAAGCAGAGACCCTCACCTGCGCAGCCCACTGATACAGCAGAAGACAGTGATTACCTACTGAGAGAACCAACCAAATCTCACTGTTCTCTCACTTAAGTACAAGAACTTACTTAAAACACAAAGCCCAATGAACACATTACCACTAGGTAGATGCAAGTGCAGCTTCAGTATTCCAAATCTTGAGATTTTATTAAAGGACAATAACTTGTATAATCAGTTCAGCCTTGCTAAGAAATACTACCAACCAGTAAAGTTTAATTTCAAAGAAGATAAAATGTCTAATATTCTTTGATAGTCAGCTATATATGTAAGTGCTAACAGTTAGGAAAAAGCAGATTTCAAACTATTGGTGGTAGTCAGCATTTTCTACATTTCCTTACCATAAAACTTTATCTTAGTAAAATAATATAGATGTCTCTAGGGGCTCACGCCTGTAATCCTAGCTACTCAACTAGCAAAAAGTCAGAAGGTGGGACTCAAGTAGTAGAGTGCCAGACTTGAGCCTTGAGAAAAAGCCAAGAAAGGGCACGAGGCTGAGTTCCAGCACCAGTATCAGCATAAAAGAAATAAACAGTAAATGACATGTTCAAAAAAAGGGCTATGATGACTAACCATACAATACATTATATCTTTCTACTATTATATATGGTACAATCATGCTTAGGTGCAAAATCAAGTCACTAACTACATAGAATAGATGTTCTTTGGTTTTTGGGTTTTTTTGTTGGTCATAGGGCCTAAACGCTGGGCCTGGGTGCTGTCCCTCAGCTCTTTAGCTCAAAGCTAGCACTCTATCTCTTGAGCCACAGCACCACTTCTGGCTTTTTTTTTCTGCTTATGTGGTGCTGAGGAATCAAACCCAGGGCCCCATGCATGCAAGACAAGCACTCTACTACTGAGCTACCTTCCCAGCCCTATAGGCTCATTTTTAACTTAAAAAAATTGATGTCACTATATTCTAATCATAGAGTTTAGGACATAAAATGTAGTTAAGTAAATCTTAAGTAATAAAAACATAAAAATTGGCTGTGGCATGTCCTATCTATTGCCACAGGAGCCTAAATCTAGAGACAGAATCACACATCAGCCCCTCTGCAAAGCAACTCACTTGTATTTACCAGGAGCCAGTGCCTGTGTGAGAGGCAGGTGGCCTTTTCCAACAAGCAAGGGGAAATCACAGTGAAGTAACTGGCAATTACAAGGACACAAGGAACTGCTGGCACTGAATGGGAGGGGTGTGGTGCTAAATGCCCCACACGCCTGGACCTAGTTCCTCCCAACACAGAGGACTGCTGCCTTAAGTGCCAACAGTACTCCCTTAAGTAAGTCATTGTGACAGACTTAGTCATAGTGAGACACCTCATCTTTCCTGATAAACTGAACTCTAAAAATAAAATGGGTGGAACATAAAAATAGGCACATAGAAGCTATTTCCTACAGGTTCATTTTTCTCCCCTCCCTCTCTTAGCTTTTCCCCTCATGGCTGGTGCTCTACCACTTGAGCCACATCTCTATTTCTGGCTTTTTGCTGGCTAACTAAAGACAAGAGTCTCCCAGCCTTTCCTGCCCAGGCTGGCTTCAATCCTCAATCCTCAGATCTCAGCCTCCTTAGTAGCTAGGCTTGTAGGCATGAGCTGTAAGTGCATAGCTCCATCATCCCCCCCACAAAAAAAAAAAAAAACAAAAAAACTCGTTTTAGTGACATTATCAAAACTGTCTTCACTTTATTTTGATGGTGCTGAGGATGGACTCCTGGGCCTCACACATACTAGGCAAGTGCTCTACAACTAAGCCACACCCCAGCAGTCTGATCTTCAATTTACATTAGCTCCAACAGGCTCCTAAAGGCTGAGGAACCTTGGAAGGTTCCTGGCTCTGGAACTGCATATCAGCTCACTGCTCACAACATGTCCAGACCGGGAGGCATGAAGAAGGGTCCTTACCAGACTTAGGAGATCTAATTAAGGGTACACATCAAAAGATAAAGGTGGGCCTTGAAAGATGGTGAACACCAAAACTTTCAGTAGAAAATCCTAAAAGCTCCCATCGCCTTTGGAGAATTAGCAAGGAAGGAAGGCAAAGGCATACCTTCCACCAGCCAACCCAGTTAAATCACTTCTCTTAATTATATGTTTCAACTCAGAGCCACACATACATCCTCCAAGACTCTATCCATTGTGTTTAAAAACAATCCCAGAGCTGGGAAGGGGGCTTAGAGGTAGAGTGCTTGCCTAGCATGCATGAAGCCCTGGGTTTGATTCCTCAGTACCACATACACAGAAAAAGCTAGAAGCAGTGCTGTGGCTCACGTGGTAGAGTGCTAGCCTTGAGCAAAAGAAGTTCAGGGACCGTGCCCAAGCCCTGAGTTCAAGCCCCAGGAGTGGCCAAAAAAAAAATCCCATTCTTCCTGGAATATAGCTTCCATATTCACAGGCTTCTCCATCTCATCACATCTGCACCAAAATGGGTCCCAAACAATGTCAAAGAGATTGCAAGTATTTACTCTGAGGCTGTGAAAGATTAAACATAGTTGAAGTTAACCTTCACAGACAAGGAAAAACTGGGGCCTATGTCAGGCAGCACAAACAATGGCTTAGGCACTACAAAAATCAATGCTATCAGGATCCAGTGGCCACATGGCTTAAAGAAGCTGAAATCAAGAAGCAAAACCAATATGATATAACATCTTACTGAACGAGTTTATATCTTTCTCACACAGAAGTGAAAGTGGCTGAAAAGGGACCAGGGC